GCTGCATACGGGTTAACCCTCCTGTAGACCATACTGCAGAGATCGTCACGACTTGAGCTTGCTGCATTATTGGGTGAACCCTCCTGTAGATCCTCCCTTAAGATACTCTGACATGACATTACCTTGCTGCATACAGGTGAACCCTCCCCTGTAGACCATGCTGCAGACTGTCACACAACTTGGGCTTGCTGCATACAGGTGAAGAACCCTCCCTGTAGACCATACTGCAGACTGTCACCACAATCCTGGGCTTGCTGCATACAGGAATTGAACCCTCCCTGTAGACCATACTGCTGACTGTCACATGACTTTAGCTTGCTGCATACAGGTAAACCTCCCTGCAGACCCCTTCCTGATGATAGTTTGCAGGATATTATTTTGCTGCATACAGGTGAACCTCCTCTCCCAGATCACTCCTTAAGATAGTGACATGACATTACCTTGCTGCATACCAGGTGAACCCCTCCCTGTAAACCCTTCCTGATGATAGTCATGAGCATTACCTTGTTGCATACAGGTGAACACCTCCACTGTAGACCATTATACTGCAGATATGTCACACACAACTTGAGCTTTGCTGCATTGCCAGGCTAACTCCTCCCTGTAGACCATACTGTAGACTGTCACGCTACTTTGAGCTTGCTGCATGGCTAGGCAAACCCCTCCATGTAGATCCTCCTTAAGATAATACTGGACATTTATTGTCTTTGCTGCATTGCCAGGTGTAAACTTCCCTGTATGACTACCATATACTGCAGACTGTCACATGACTTGGAGCTTGCTGCGCTACAGTGAACCACTCCTTGTAGACCCTCCTCCTGATGATAGTCATGACATTACCTTGCTAAAATACACAGGTGAACCCTCCCTCTGTAGAGCCTCCCTTAAGAGAAGATGCCTGACATTGCGCTTTGCAGCATGCAGGTGAACCCTCCACTGTAGACCTCCTCCGCGATGATAAGTGATACGGCATTGCCCTGCTGCATACAGGTGAACTGTCCCTGTAGACCACCATGCGCTGTAGACTGTCACATGACTGAGCACTGCGCCTGGGTGAACCTCCCCAGGAAATTCAATTCCTGAAGGAGTAGTGACACATGACATTACTCTTGCTGCATACCAGGTGGAATTCTCCTGTAGACCATACTGTCAGACTGTCATGATGACTTGAGCTTTGCTGCATACAGGTGACCCTCCCTGTAGATCCTCCTTAAGATAGTGTGACATGACATTACCTTGCAGCATGCAGGTGAATCACCTCCCTGTAGACCTCCTCCGATGATAGTGACATGACATTTTGCTGCACGCCAGGAGCAACCCTCCCTGTAGATCCTCCTCCCTTAAGATACTGACACATACATTACCTTGCTGCATACAGGTGAACCCTCCTAAACTCTACCCTAGATACTTTGAGCATGATGACACTGCTGTATGCACAGGTGAACCGTCCCTGTAGGCTCATACTGCAGACTGTCACATGACTTGAGCGCATGTATACAGCTGGCTGCCTCCCTCCCAGTAGATCCCTCCTCCTTAAAGATAGTGACATGACATTACCTTTTGCAGCATACAGGTGAAACCTCCTGTAGATTCATACTGCACGTAGACTGTCACCTACGATTTGATGGCTGTATTACAGTGAATACTCTTGTAGACCATACTCTGTAGACTGTCATCACTCCACTGAGCTTTAAGGTATACGGAGGTGAATTCCCTCCCATAGTAGATCTTCCCTTTTAAGATGGTGACATGACATTACTTTGCTGCATACAGGTGAACAGTCCCTGTAGACCATACTGCAGACTGTCACACCTTGACTTGACCTTGCTGCATACAGGTGAGACCCTCCCTGTAGACCCTCCTGATGATAGTCATGACATTACCTTACGCACATACAGGTGAACCCTCCCTGTAGACCATACTGCAGACTGTCACACGACTTGAGCTTGCTGCATACAGGTAAACCCTCCTGTAGACCTCCTGGTGAAGATAGTGACATGACATTGCCTTGCTGCATGATACAGGTGGACCCTCCCTGTAGACCCATACTGCAGACTGTCCACATGACTTGAGCTTGCGCTGCATACAGGTGAACCGTCCCTGTAGACTCCTCCTCTGATGATAGTCATGACATTACCTTGCTGCATACAGGTGAACCCTCCCTGTAGACCCACTGCTGAACTGTCACATGACTTAGGCTTGCTGCATACAGGTGACCCTCTCTGTAGACCACTCCTGATGATAGTCATGACATTACCTTGCTACATACAGGTGAACCCTCTCCCTGTAGACTATACTGCAGACTGTCACATGACTTGGGCTTGCTGCATACAGGAGAACCCTCCCTGTAGATCCTACCCCTTAAGATAGTGACATGACATTACCTTGCAGCATACAGGTGAACCCTCCTGTAGACCCACCCTGAAGGAGTGACATGACATTACCTTGCTGCATACAGGTGAACCCTCCCTGTAGACCCACCCCTGAAGATACTGACATGACATTACCTTGCTGCATACAGGTGAACCCTCCCCTGTAGACCATACTGCAGACTGTCACATGACTTTAGCTTGCTGCATACAGGTGAGCCCTCCCAGTAGATCCTCCCTTAAGATAGTGACATGACATACAGGTACCTTGCATGCACTGCAGACTGCAACTTGGGCTTGCTGAACCCTCCCTGTAGACCATACTGCAGACTGTCACACAACTTGAGCTTGCTGCATACAGGTGAACCCTCCCTGTAGACCATACTGCAGACTGTCACACGACTTGAGCTTGCTGCATACAGGAGAACCCTCCCTGTAGACCCTCCTGATGATAGTCATGACATTACCTTGCTGCATACAGGAGAACCCTCCCTGTAGATCCTCCCTTAAGATACTGACATGACATTACCTTGCTGCATACAGGTGAACCGTCCCTGTAGACCATACTGCAGACTGTCACACAACTTGAGCTTGCTGCATACAGGTGAACCCTCCCTGTAGAGCCTCCCTTAAGATAGTGACATGACATTACCTTGCAGCATGCAGGTGAATCCTCCCTGTAGACCCTCCTGATGATAGTGACATGACATTACCTTGCTGCATACAGGTGAACCGTCCCTGTAGACCATACTGCAGACTGTCACATGACTTGAGCTTGTTGCATACAGGTGAACCCTCCCTGTAGACCCACCCTGAAGGAAGTGACATGACATTACCTTGCTGCATACAGGTGAACCCTCCTTTCAAACTCCACCCTGAAGATACTGACGCATGACATTACCTTGCTGCATACAGGTGAACCCTCCTGTAGACCCTCCTGATGATAGTGACATGACATTACCTTGCTGCATACAGGTGAACCCTCCTTTAAACCCACCCTGAAGATACTGACATGCCATTACCTTGCTGCATACAGGTGAACCGTCCCTGTAGACCATACTGCAGACTGTCACATGACTTGAGCTTGTTGCATACAGGTGAACCTCCCTGTAGATCCTCCTTAAGATAGTGACATGACATTACCTTGCTGCATACAGGTGAATCCTCCCTGTAGACCCTCCTGATGATAGTCATGACATTACCTTACTGCATACAGGTGAACCGTCCCTGTAGACCATACTGCAGACTGTTACATGACTTGAGCTTGCTGCATCCAGGTGAACCCTGTCCTGTAGAGCCTCCCTTAAGATAGTGACATGACATTACCTTGCAGCATGCACAAGTGGAATTGAGTTGGAAGTACTACACATGTAGTTCAACATAAGCATAATGCAACTCTTTTCATGTGACTCATATAGTGTTGCATTTGATGTTTAAGATCAAATTACAATGACTGCATTGCAGACACTTCTGTATGACAGGATAAACAACTTGACATTTTTTTGGTGGCTGGGATTTGCTAGAGGATTATTTGTTGTGTAAGGCAAGAGTTAACATAACCGCACATTCTGCCTGTTGTATGTGTTCCAACCAAGTCCCACTGTTGTTACTGTCACAGGTAGTGCATAAGCCTGACATGTGACCTGGCTGACAGTGTGTCGTGGTGACCTGACCGACTGTGTGTCGTGATGACCTGAGGTCATTGCTCATGCTATGACCTTCTGGTGTCCCCTTTTTTGTCATTCCCTGAGTATTGCTGGAACACTGGTGTACACTCACCGTTTCCTTTTTCCAGTAACTGCCAGTAATGTACTGGTAAAAGTGGCCATAGAATGTTAAGACTTACACTGTCAGTCCATGATTTTGAAAGGATTAATATTGTCAATTATGCTATTCCAGTAGACCAATAAATGTATAATTGTACAATGCACTGATAGTTCATGATTCAGTGGAAGCATGACTCAGTAGATAACTGTCATTTACATTGATTCAATACTGTACTCCATATTAATCATACAAATTAGTATTCAGATTGGATAGAACTGTATCCTTAGTAACCTAATTATGCCCAAACTGCAACTCACTTGATGAGTGGCCAGAGAGCAGAATGTTTGTGGTTTGATCACAAGCCATGCCAAACTAAAATATGTTCCAATATTAGGGGTGGGTATTGCAGAGAATTTTCATATTGCGATATATTGCAATGCAAAAGCATGTATTGCGATATGTACTGCAATATATTGCGTGAAGTAAAAACTACTTATAATCGAGGTAATGCTTGATTTATGGAGCAAATACACAGCAAAATCACTATGCTTGATTAAGTTTTAATAACAACTTTTATTCATGATTAAAAATAAATATGTGAATATTATTTGGCACAAATGAAAAAAGGAAATATCCGAGGATTTCTGAGTGTTACGAAGTTTTCCGAATGCAAGTCAAAATACCGGTTTTCGATCAGCGTATCGCAATACGTATCGTTTTCATGTCTGAACCGTTAAATACCAGTAAACCGGTTATATTGCGCAGCCCTATCCAATATGACAATTGTTGCCCTGCCTGTCATTAAGGACAGGTCTGTACTGTAGCATATTTGTACACCATTAATTGTGCATTCTTATGTTTCAGTTGAAGGGGCCATCGCCATTTCAATTCCACACAAAGAGGGTAAAAGAATATCTGACCTCCTTGACAGGGGTTTCAATTTGACCATGTACATCACCGTAGGTCAGAAGACAAACAAGGACAGAAGCACCGATAAAAACCCAAGCAAGACGTCAGTTGTGTTTGTATCAGTCTCTTTCATTGTGTTGATGATTATCTCCCTTGCTTGGCTCGTCTTCTACTATATCCAGAGGTTTCGCTATGCTCATGCGAAGGAACGACTTGCTGTAAGTTTTGAATGAATGTGTTTTGGAAAACATTTTCAATCATACCTGGTGTCCCAATATATTGTATTTCTATTCTCCACTATTCAACTTTTGCTAAGGACCACACACCATAAATTAAAGATGACCAAGTTTGTCTTTAGCAAATATTGAGTAGTGTATTGTGATAAATACTGTCGCCAAATTTTCTGTCACTGTTTATCTTTTGGCATGTTTTTCAAGCCTGGTTAAAATGATGTCATGTTAAAATCAAGTTATTCTCATAACTGAATACACACCAGTTGTAAAAACACTACTTCATATCTATACATATGCCTCCCGACACTACAATGTACATTACTTCCTTGATAATGGTGTAACAATCTACACTGAAATGTTGATCCTCTTTGTTTATATAGGAGTTGTTGATCCATATATCCTATCTTAGTACTCCAGCTTCTGTATGGCTCTCAAGGAAGTTAGATGTTACACATGTTATATTTCGTATTACACCTTGCAAGTAAAGGATAGATTCTGGTACTTTTTATAATGCGTGGGGATATAGTCCATGCCTCGTCCGTCCATATGTAATTATTTGGTTTGGTTTGGTTGAACTAAAAACAATGTTCAATATTTTTCAACAACAATTGGTAGATATATAAAACAGATCCTGAAGTAGTGCCTTTTTGCTATTTACAGAATTTTGTCATTTTTTCTTTATCAGTACCCATGGAGACATTTTGGTCGCGAATGTCGGGAGGGGTGTGCTTTGTTTCCGAGCCAATTTTCAAAAAAAATGGTAGATATATCAAACAGAACCTAAAGTGGTGCCTTTGCTATTTCCAGAATTTTTCATTTTTAATCGTTTCGGGCGCTTAACTCAAAACCTTCCAATATGTTTCTACAAGACTTGGCAGATATATCAAACTGATGGCGGTGCCTTTTGCTATTTACAGATTTTTGGCATTTATATTTTTCATGATTTCCACAAAAACGATTTGCACTTAGTCTAAGAAATCAAGTTAAACTGTCAGATGATTTGTTCTTTCAAATGTGTCGGGCTCTTGTTATTAAAATCATCCTCTGGAACAGGTTACCTGGGGAAAGTATTGATTGAAAATGCTTCCAGTATCCACACTGATAAACTACTTTTGCACACAAAGGAATGAAATAAGGTCCTCAGTAGACTATGTAGACACATTTGATATTTGTATCAAACATGAGATGATAGAACTGGGAGTTCAGGAATATGTTGGTAAGCTATTACAGACATCTATCCATGGAGCTACATCCTTACAACAACATCTTATAGGGAACAAGGAAACATGTATCTGAAGGAATGATATCCTTGCTTTTCCTTCCTATCTTTATGAGACATATTTAACACTGTTATTCTAAGAAAGTAAGATACTTACGGAAAACAACTTCTATATTTTATGTGATGCATCATATATAATAAGAAGTTGTCATCCATATAGTATCTTACTTCTTATTACTCATCAACTTCTAAAATGCCAATCAAACAGGGTCTAGATTTTCAAAGCTCTCTTAGCGCTAAGAGAGTCGTAAGTGCCATACATTAACATTAACTTACGACTATCTTAGCGCTAAGAGGGATTCGAAAATCTAGGCCCATATCACTGTTATTCTACCTTTTCTTTTCCGATATTTTCTTGTTCTGGTACAGCATTTCTGGGGCAGGACCAGGACAAGAAGGATGACTGTTCTGGTATTCATTGTAATAGGTGCATCTGGTAACATCCGTGTGCAAATCCACCGATGAAGCTGAATTTGTACACATGTATCCACATGTAGTCAATAATTGTGAACATATCACTCTATTGAATATAGTCATGGATCAGTGGAATATTGCTGTATGTCTTTATCTGTCACATACATGCTGGTGAACAGTGTACGAAATAGCCGCTGGACCACTAGCCCATGGCTAGTAAAAATCCAGTCGGGCCAGTAAATCTCCACAGTCACTTGCCCGACTGGCTAATAAATTTTCATTGGGTAATTTTTTAAATATACCACTCACTCCGTCTTGTAAACTTATAGAAATTTTTTAAATCATGTTAGATTATGCTAATAAATGATGGTATTTTGCCTTTTTGTAATATTTTGCTTAATTTCTACATTTAGATTTCAGGCTAGTGAATTATTTTGTGGGCTAGTAACTTTCAGACATAGCTAGCCCCACTGGCTAGTAAAATTTGGAAACTATTTCGCCTGGTAAATACTGCTGTGCTTGTGGTGATGCTTGAAAGACAGTCGAATCCCAATGTCTCGTTCAGACGAATTCTCGGTTGTGTCAAACTCATTTCTCGATCCCTGTCGGTTTCCTTATATTTATAATTATTTCTATACTGACGGATGTGTCGAACACACAGATAAGTCAAACTGTTTCCTTGGTCCCGACGAGTTCAACACAACGGGGTTTGACTGTATGCTGTCATCATGTTCACAGTTGACACGTGACCGCTAGAAGCCTCAAACATGTCACATGGTGTTATATGGCTTGGCATATGTAGGGTTGGTGTTTCTATCTCCAGCTGCAAGATACCAAACACATTAACACATGGTACTTGATGTTACCCTGCCAAAAACTCTTTATATAGGGATTAAAACACAGAGGTAGATGCTACACCATTGCTTGGTATCTCAGTGGGATAACACTGCAAAAATAGCCTTGCTCAGTGTCACTCCAATGTTACAAGTACATGTAGTAGTTTTTCCCCTTGACATTCTTAGCAGGGAGCAGCGCAATGCCGTTTTCATTTGGCGCCCTGCGCTTTATATTTGACGTCCTGTCCTTCTTTTTATGCAACAATAGTGTTTTGATCTCGAGCTGTATGATGGCAAAGACATTAGCAGATGTTACTTGATGTTACCCTGTGTTCTTCATGTAGGGACTAAAACACGGAAATATTGGCCTGGAGTGAGGTAGATGCTACACCATATCTTGGTATCTTAGTAGGATAACACTACAAAGCTAACCTTGTCCAGTCTCATACGTATGTCCATGTATATTGGTGTAGAAGTGCAATGATATTGCAGCAATGTCAAACCCCAATTTACCTGACATCGACTGACCTTGAACTTATGTCTTGACTGCAGTGCCCTCAAGTTTTGTTATACTTTTCAGAGGCGACTTGCAAGTGCTGCAAAGAAAGCCATCGCGAAGATTCCACAGAAAACTGTGAAGAACGGAGATAAGGTACAGAATTTCCAAAATTTTGATACGTGTTTAGTTGCATAGCTTGGAGTATTCAGGAGATGGGTTAATACTGTTGTTAGTATGAACAGAAAGGAAAGTGTGAGTTGAGACGTAGCTGATCACGCTACCTGACACACGTCGATGTAATGGAGTTTTGACTGCACAAGAAGTATCAGTTGGGTGAAAAACAATTAGTTTATTTATATCTTCCGAATCGTATGGTTAATATCAGAACTACCTGAACCAACTTAACCTGTTCAGGCAGCAACCATGTCATGGTTTTGTTTCTCTTTTCTTTCTTTGTTAAGTCGGCGTGCGTGCGTGCGTGCGCGCGTGCGTGCGTCGTGGCGCGTGCGTCGCGATGTATGCGCGCGTGCGCGTCGCGTGTCGCGTCGTAAGAAATCGCGTCGCGTCGCGTCGCGTCGCGTCGCAAGCGTCGTTGATTAAAGAAGATCAGTATTACATTTAGTGATTTTTCAAGTTTATTTATAGGTTGTGCTTTTTTTACAATAATCAGTTTCTCAGTTTCTTGAAAAACAGATGCATAACATGTTGTTTAGACGCCATAATCGGGATGGTCAGGAGAAATGTTTTCCTACAGCTGAATCACACTCCGGCACAGCGATGACTAACATAACATCACTGCCACAGGCTAATTTGCATATCACGTGATCGGACTTTTTTCTTGTTTGTAAACAAACGCACATATTCATAATAAGAAGAGACTGGACTCACGAAAGCTTTTCAGCGCTCTCTTCATACTGTTTTACATTGTTACATATATATTCTTCCACAACTGTGACAGTAAGGTCTATGAGAGTACATATTTAGATATCAAACTGGCTGCATGGTTTGCTCTCCATCAGCTTCGATGACAGCACGTGGAGCCGTACAACCTATGTAAACAAAGAGTCTCTACGCAAATCGAAATAGTGTTACATGTTTTTGGATATTTTCTCAGTGAAACTAAACCATTCTATTAAGAATGTTTAGTTAGATGTGTAAACTCATCATAAATAAATGAGTAAAAGAAATCTGTACATTATATTGAATGGACATTGCAAGATGTGACGAATCATCACACTTTTCTGGCCTGTGGCAGAGGTACTATGCTGGCTTGCCACATGGAACTCTGGGTAGGAGAGTGCAGCTGAATGTTTATGTAAGAAATATTCAGTAAAAGGTGCTTGACAATGTTTTGGAAAAACTAGACGTAAATGTTGTCAATAAGTTGAAGATTATGATGGAGATGCAATAATTGTCAATAATTTTAAGTTGCTTGTCAAGATGATGTAGTGCATATTTTTTTTTCTCTTCTGCAGGAAATGGGCACTGACTTTGACCAGTGTGCTGTATGCATTGAAGGATACAAGGCACACGATGTCATTAGGACTCTTCCATGCAAGTAAGTAAACTAGACATTAGATGTTTGCGTGAGCAGAGTAGGTGCCACTGAAAAGGGGATTAGGACGTATGAAATTGTTTCCAACTCTTCAGTATTGCTGTCAACCATATTGATGTATCTTAGCCTGAGTTTCGATCCAGAACGCTTTTGTAATTTTATGAGTGAACGTAACTATACAGTTAATCATGGGATTACAAATGATGTAGTGCTATGAGTGATTTGTGGATCAGGCCCCAGCACCTGTGATAATGATAGCTCATGAGCAGAATATGTCCATTTTATCACTTTCTTGTCACCAGAGACCAAACTGAGAATGGGTACTGGAACCCAAATGTGTGGTTGTCAAATACTGGTTTGTCTGAGCTAGATCCTATGGTATTCTGGCACAGCATAGGTCTCCATAAGGAGGACCGCTGCCATATAGCTGGAATATTGCCGAGTGTGGCATAAAACTAAACTCACTCACTCTATAAGGACTGAGTTACAATAATGAGGATTGAATAGATATATGGCCTGGCAGGGCTCGATTTAGTGCTTTGTTACTTGCACTGGTGCAACCCAATATTACAAAGTGCAGCCTAGCTATTAGTCTTACTTGTACCAGGTGCAAGCTAATTTTTGAGAAAGAAATCACCAATAAGTCTAACTTTGTATGAGCAGCATATAAATGTGTCAGCTATTTCTTCTAAACTTTGAATAATTCACAGGGGTGGAAATAACTTTAAAATTGCTAGTGTACTCCAGTACAGTGGCACATGTAAAATCACTTGCCCTGATCATTTTTCCACTATACCGGCCGTTTTCTTGTTAATTTTTTAAATAAACAACATTATTAACATTGGAAAGTCAACTGGACACCGGTACAGCGTGATATACAAATTTGCTTGCCCGACAGAAAAAAGCACTGGACTCGGACGTCGGGCAATGGGTTATTTTCACCCCTGATTCAATAGCACATTTCTTTCTTTACATATTGCAAAAAAAGCAGTGCAACTGGAACTTGGCTCATGCAACTAGGTATTTATCTCAGGTTGCACCTGGTGCAAGTAGAATAGCATCTCTTAAATCTGCCTGGCTCATTGTGTGTGGTCATGACCTATAGCTCTGACCATGCTATCTGTCACTAGTGTTAAGGCTTCTGCTCAAGCTGTGATATTGCTGAATGTGACATCATACAACTTGCTTTGGTGTTATTACTGACCACTACAAAATGAAAAACATTTTGATAGGAACAGGCCAAGGTGATTTGATCTTATTTATTAGGTCATGGTAAATATTTTGAAAATTGAATCTGAAAGGATCACATTAAGTTTCAATACGGGTTACAAATTTAAACAAATGCAAAATATTTCTAAGAATATTGTATTCTATTGTTTTGATTCCTGATGATGTGATTCTGTGTTTCATCACGTTGTGTTTATCTCCCCAGGCACGTGTTTCATAAATCTTGTGTGGATCCATGGTTGCTAGATCAGCGAAGTTGCCCAATGTGTAAATTAGATATACTCCGAGCTTATGGGATGCATGTAAGTACCTTTGACAACTTCCAGTGTATTGCTTACTTTTCTTTTGTTTGTCTTTGTGTCAATTTCCTGACTCGGAATGGTTGTAATACAGCATTTGTTGGAGATAATGTTGATTGTATTCTCCATGAAAATTGAGTAATGATTGTTGAATGGATAAACTGTTTACCGTTAAACAAGACTCACTCACTCACTCTTTCGCTCACCCACTCACTCGGGGCTGTGGGGGTAGCCTTGTGGTTAAAACGTTGGCTCCTCATGCCGAAGATACGGGTTTGATTGCCTACATGGGTACAATTTGTGAAGCCCATTTCTGGTTTCCCCAGCCGTGATGTTGCTGGAATATTGCTGAAAGCGGCGTAAAACTCAACTCACTCACTCACTCACTCACTCACTCACTCACTCACTCACTCACTCACTCACTCACTCACTCACTCACTCACTCACTCACTCACTCACTCACACTCACTCACTCAAACACTCACTCACTCACTCTGTTGTATATCTACAGGTCGGCGGTAGCGAGGACAGTGTTCACCCTGATGGGGAGAGTGGCAACGCAATGGGTCCTGTCGAGGACATCGAGCAGACTTCTGTGGGTGATGAGCAGAGTGCAGACGGCGAGGTGAAGGTTCTCCTTCTTCCCCAGCACCTTTGTCTCCACCATGGAGGGGAGACAAGCACCAGTGCTGGCAGGGCTAGTATAGATTCCAGTCATGTCACCTGTGATCCAAGTGAAGACTGTGCTCATTCCAGTGACTCTGAATGTACCGAGCTTCATTCGTTAATGGATCATATCGGGGCAGCAGGTGTAGAACCATCGTGTACTGTAGTCAATCAAAAAGACTCGGACACAGAAGGGGATTTATCAGTGTAGCCGTGATGCGGCGATCCGGTCTGTGATAAGTGTTGGATTCGGTGTTCCACATTCCAACCTAGCCATTGGGGAATCAGTGAAGATCTTTCTATCAAGACCTTTTGTGATTAGCATAATGCGTGGATTAAGTAGTCGTAGATGTTGAAAGTGGTGGTCTCAGTGAAGGAGTGGTACCACAAGCCTCCATACAATGTAAGTGGATATTTCAGTGAATCTGTTGTAAGTGTCAAGAAACTTTGCTCACATTGTGGTGAGACGCCGCAGGTCTGATGACAGAGAGAACAGGAAGGCATGCGTTAACAGTAAAAAAGGAAATTCTTAGCAAACTATGTGTAAACATTCAGAAAGAAGATAAGGAATGTCAGTAAACATTTTTTTCTCTTTCCTAAATTTAGAAAACTCATCTATTGATGTCAGTGTAAAGACATCAATGGATTTGTCAGAGGCATCATGTTGTCGATGAAATTGGTTCTGACTAGTTGACAGGGTATCAGTATATGATTCTTTATCATATATGTGTGCATAAAAAAATCAGGTTAGTGGAGTTTTAGATTTTTTTAAATGTTGAACTATTTAAGTAGATTTGTAGTTTACCAGTATGTAGCTGGGTTGATGAGCCTGTTCCAAAGAAAGAAAGTGTTATGCTTAAGACCCAGGCTTCATGCAGAGAGTGATCAAGAACTGACATTAAATGGCAGTGAATATGGAATCCAGCTCTAGTTGCAGGCTAGATGTAAAAACAGAATGCCAAAGACAATGCAAGGTTGGTGGAGAACGCAGTGACCTTGTAACAAGCAGGACATGTAGAATTGTAGCCCGGAACTTGAGTGGTCCTCGCTTCTCTGGATTGCGTGGATGGTGGCGGAGCCAGATCACGAAGAGGAAAACTGGTTTGGTTCAGATCAATTTAAATATTCCATTTTCTGTTGTATCCCGTGTAATATGTTGAGTTTCTTTGATCAAATATTGTATTTCAAAATATAGAATAATATTATTGGAATTATGAGCCAAAGTGTTTACAATCACCTATCAAGCCATGATTGGACTGAATTTAACTTCAAACATTATTTCAGATTGTCCATATTTTAGCCATGAAGTTGGCTTCGGTTGGACATGGTTGATGCTTTTCTTTGTATCCCAATTCCATTGATTAATACTTATTACATCAATCACTCGATTGTCTGGTCTGACTGGTTTTTATGCAGGCTACCATCATATAGCTGGAAAATTGCTGAGTGTGGCATTTAGCAACAAGAGGTTGTTAAGATAACCATGGTTTCCATGGAGATTGCCACTTTCAGGTTTTCCAGTGTATGATGACCAAAGCAGGATCTGGTTACGGTTTTACAAGTTCAGCTGTTCTTTCATCACTAAACACCAAGCAACATTAACTAGCTATGCTGCAGTCTGCTTCACATTTTCACGTTTTCTTTGTTATTTTTGCAATGTTGTTGAAATTGATGTTAAATCTTGACGTTAACAATTTGTGATTCGGTGTCCCATTTTCTGTTACAATACTTTTACGAATCATTCACAATTATCATTCTTACATCACTTCTGTGAATGTAGTCTTGTCTGTGGACACTCATGATTGTCACGTATGAAGCATGTACTTTGTTCTTTTATAAGAAAAAAATCTTTCTTCAATCTCCTTCATACTTGTATTTCTTGAATCTTGTTATCTTGTATGTATTTATTTTAATTAGTATGAGTAGCTGATGATTCATTCAAAACAAAGGATTGTTTGCATTTATACAACCAACTGAAGTTGTAGTCTCAAAACAGAATTTGCCTGTCCATACTACTTCTGTAACAAGTAATATACTATGTTGCCATGCCGATATACAAAATTTGAACCTTGAAACAGCTTTCTATAAAATTTAAGTTCTGTATCTGTTACCATGGTTTCAGTTGTTTCTCTTTTACATGAAACTTCAATACAGTAAACTATGTATATAACGAACATGGATATATGAACTAAGGTTACTAACAGATATAAGGAACAGGGTTTTTTGGTCCCAGCTACTTGCAGTGTGTTTTAGTCGAAATGCTAACTACAGATATAATATCAGATATATATCTAGAATTTGTGGGGCAGTGGGATAGCCTAATGGTTAAAGCATCGGCTTGTCACTCTGACGACCCAGGTTCGTATATGAAGCCCATTTACGGTGTCCCCCGACGTGATATTGCTGGAATATTGCTAAAAACGGCGTAAAACCAAACTCACTCACTCTAGAATTTGAAGTCCCTTTCAGTACCGGTACATTAGAACCGTAGATTATTTTATTTTCTTGTCAGATCTTCTCTTGTAGCTGTTAGATGCAAACATATCTTTGAGGATGGCGATGCACTCACTAGTTCCAGTTGATTGAATGAAATGCAGAATTACCTTCATGTATTTGAAGTAAAACTCTCAAGTGAGCATGTGCTTTCACACCTTCACATGTACTGCTAGCTTTTCTACACAGAGCAAGCTTCAAAAGCCCTCATTGTTGTAGTGTTTCGATGATATTTATGTCCCTTGTGTAGTCTCCATTATGTAGATTCCATTGAATGTTCTTGATGTTAAACACAATATTGATCCTCTTTGAAACATGTGGGGGTTGTCTCAAAAACCATCATGTCATTTTCTGATAATATGTGTTCATAACGGGTTAGTTCTAAGGGTACCGGTACATAATTTGTGTTAGTTAAAGAGACAATATATCTCTCATGCCAATACTACAGAAAATGTGTCTGATTTCATTTCAAATATGATTTTGGGCTATTGTCTTTCTACATGTTTAGTACTGTAGAGTACACAAAATAATATTTGTTGATCAATCAAGTTATACCTGTATTGGAAACAATATTGATGCTTGGGAGATTTTACGTACTTTCCAACATAAAGTGTATTTCGCACCTGGTACAAAAATGATAGTGACAACACAGGGCTCGATTTAGTGCTTTGTCACGTGCACTGGTGCAGCCCAATATTACAAAGTGCAACCTAGATATTTGTCTAACTTGCACCAGGTGCAACTCTATTTTTGAGTGGGTAAACTCTGAATAAAACATCTAAATAATTCAATAGTATATTTCTTTCAGTACATATTGCAATATAAGCAGTGCAACTGGAATTGGCTGGTGTAACTAGATTTTTATCTTAGGTTGCACCTAAGTAGGTTAACATCTCTTAAATCGAGCCCTGCAACACATTTTTTATTAATGACTATGACATGGAGCTTTTCAAACAGCCTCTTTTGTTAATACCTGTTTATACAAGGATTGTATACGGATGACATTCTAGCATACTCTGACACAGTTGTCAGAGGTCACTGATACTAAACGCAGGAGACTGAAGATATCTACTACAGACCTGTCCTTGTTGCTATGTTGGAAGAATGTATATTATCATGTTTAGAACACTATTTCATTATCGTAATGCCCAGACACTTTCAGCGGAGGTGTAGCAATGCAATGATTAAGATTATCTCCAGAAAATGGGCCACAGGATACCAACAAGTTGCCTAGTTCAGACTGGTTGTTATCTTGTCCCAAGATTATTGTTGAATTTGGCAGTGATGTAAAATAATGTACTGTCAAATAATGGTAATACAAGACAGCACTCCAGAGCCTTCAGCTACATTGTTACTGTAATTTACTAATTTGGTCATGACTGTTTCTGTTGTTTCTATGACAACTACTAAGATGAAAAAAGGAGATATCTGTAATTTGAAAGACAACCAAAGTAAGTTATTACTGAACATGTCTTAGGATGCAGAAAACGTTTTTAGAATGCTATTTTCCAAAGTAATGGGCTAGTTTTTATTCAGAAACAGTTGACTCACGTATCTTATGCATACTTTAGGCTACACTGCTTTCATTTCCTTGTTAAGAGATTGTCTACTCACTGCTTGGTTTGTATTGTGTAAATAAAGAAAGATTCATAAAAGCATTCAGGCTAACACAAATGATTGGGAACTTTCTTCTCTGATCTAATCTGAAACTGAAGAATTTGTCTGAGTTTTCCCGCTGAACAAAATATTTGAGGATACCGTTTTCAAGAAATACCTTTGACAGTGAAGTAGTAGAAAACTCATAAGCCAATGAAAGGAAGCTTCTGATACATTATTCTCAAAGAGAGAGTAATCGATTATGTCATGTAATTGCTTAGCAATACTAAGAGTGTCAGAGGTTTTTTAAGTACATTTGTGATAATTTATTTCCAGCTGAAGTTTAACATTGCTGTTTCCTAATGACTTGCTGTCTTTATCTTTTGGCTATTATACTGAGTGGTTCTACTGATGAATTAGGCCAGGTCATTGTATTGTTACACCCAGAGGCCTTGTCACATGGTTGCACATCTTTCAAGTGTAGTACTGGCACTGACAGGTAATCCAATCATCGCTTACCACTAGCCTGTGCCTGTCACACCCATATCACTCATTCCTAGATACCTCAATAGCTTAAAAACCATCAGTTTTGCTGTGGAAGAGGATTTTGTGTGAGACAGGATCTTTGGGGTTTATTGTTTCATTTTTTCTGAAGGAATTATTTTGTCAAGAGTGTCCCATCACATCGCAGAATTTGAAACAGTTGGTTCCTTAAGTTCTAACATCCCTACAATTCCGATGAAATTATGATTCCTTATCATTCATTTATTCCTTATCATTCGGCATTAGTCATTGTGTAGTCAGTCATGAAGACAATAGTAGCTTCTGAAAGATGTGTATCTATTTGAAAGCCTTTATCTTGTTTATAAATGTATACTGTATCAGTCATATTATATATATTTCAATTTCATATTATATAGCCTATTTTCCGTAATCCATTACAGTTGTGTTCAAAACAGTTAAGCACTAAGAGATAGTGTTCCCATTAGGCCACGCATTTGTTATATGCTATTAGCTTTATTTCTATGAACTTACGACACATATCTTTCAATGTCCATTCTCATTAAAACCCTGTTAGTCTAGGAGCTTGTGTAACTTTGCTAAATAGCCATGCACAATTACTGTGAAAAAGTTGGAAAAGTTTGTAAAACATATTTCAAAATACCAAACCAGATCTTTTTAATATTTCACTGCCTATCTACTTGTGTATGCAACTAATCACCTTATACAGTAAACATATACAGACTTGACCATCCTTGATTTTCCAAAAGAAAGTTAGGGGAAGTTGATGCTTTCATATTGCTACACATACTCTGCCAGGGCAGATTAATGATAGTAATAGGCTACAATCAAATGGTTCTTAACTTATTTTCAACTAGTATATTGTGATAAATACTCTGAACAGATTCACTACAATATTTTCCTTTTGGAGTCTGATTGGAGTGCTATGGTAAATACCTGATCAAGCAATCGACTCTCATGAGTGAGATAAATTCTGTGACAAGCTAGGAACAGGAGCAGTGGAGATGGCGATTTCTCTTTAAACACAAATCAGTTAGTGAATAGGTCCAGGGTTTTTATTGTGATTGAATGGAGGAATATGCCCTGGATTGTCGAGGATGGGTCTCGCCATACACAACACATTTTCTTTCTTCAGAAACATGATTTACAGTCAATTCTGGATTGTCGAGGATGGATCTTGCCATTCATGACACATTTTCTTTCTTCAGAAACATAATTTACAGACAATTCTGGATTATTGAGGATGGGTCTCGCCATACACATTTATTTCTTCAGAAACATAATTTACAGACAGTTATGGACTGTCAAGGATGGGTCTCGCCATACACAACACGTATTCTTTCTTCAGAAACATGATTTACAGACAATTCTGTCTGTGAGCACAAGGCTTGCCAACTTGTTTATTGTAGATAGGCCCAGTGTTATCAGAGATAGAACATCCTCCTCCCGAACCCACTACACAATACACAACATCCAGGAAACTTGGTTCTTACATAAATGCCTTTCAAAGATATATTCCCATCTCACACTTACAGTTTTTTTGATAATCAAGAGACAAGTATGTATCTTCAAATTGTAATAACTGCATCCATTGTTTCCATGTTTCACTATGACGTGCCAGTCCTTACATTGTATATCTATGTGCTGTATGTATGCATTAATGAATGTGTACTTGCATACCTTCAACCACCATTTTAAAAATGGATATGTGATCACATGAATGTGAGTCCATTGTTGTAATCGTAACTTCTCGCCTCTTTCCGTGACCTACAAGAAGACTTGTACCCCTATCGTACGCCATTATTACCATGAATTGTGGCAAACCAATCAAATCGCTCGTAGTAAAACGCATTTCGATGCATGAAAATTGCGGCACCGTTGAACTTTGAAACTTCGCTAAACTATGCAATGCACAATTTAAACATAAACCTTGAGCTAAAGGATCAGCAACTTTAAACACTGAAACATATTTACAAAGGGAATGACTGTATTGCTGTTTTGCTCGATATTCTTGGAGCCATGTTTGAAAATTCAGAGTTATCTTTCCTTGGTAATAGTACTAGACTATTTTCATCTCCATGTCCGTTTGCACTTAGACAGGGCCCAGTCGTAAACATGTCCGCGAGATGGGTACAAGTCACCATCGGGCTTGCAGGAATGACACGAGTAGTTATGAATGTCCATTGTTGCAGCATATTAAGATTTACCATTCACCCAGATTATGTCATAAGCAAGATTACTAACCTGTTTGTTTACATTGATGCATAGAATGCTTATTTCATCAAGACTGAGAGAGGAATGTTGTGATTACAGTGGTTATTTTGTTAATTGCATTATGCAACAGTTAATTTTGTTTGATGTCAGCATGCTCTTTATGTTTACTGTTCTCAATTCGTAATTGCAAAACATTCAAATTAACGACAGAATTAGCTGTCATGTAAAGTTAGCAGACTGTGCGACAGATGTTCTGTTACATTCATTCATGCACTGTACACATAT